ACACCGTAGGTCAAAGGCATAAATTCTTCTTCTATCATCCCTATTCATTGTCCAGCTTTCTGATGCCGAGCACATAATTGCGAAGACCGTGGCTTGGATCAGGTGCACCTTAGCCTCTAGACTGACATCATTGCTCTTCAGTACTCTGGAGATGTCTCTGACAGCAGACTTTCCCAATACAATTTGTCTTTTGATTTCTTGGTTGCTGGTACCAAGAGTGTTGGTTGTGGAGCCAAGCAAACTAAAGCTGTTAACAATCTCAATCTCTTCACCATCTAACATGATGCTTCCAATCAGCCCAGTGCTGAGAGAATCTTTGTTTTCTTGATGTCGAGCTTCAGTCCAGATTTAAGGCTGCAGTCCTTGGCCTTCTGCAACAAGTGCTTCAGGTCCTCCTCAGTTTCAGCAAGGAAATAACTTGTTAATATTCTTTCTTTTTCTAGAATAATTTTGGTAATTTATATAAGAATAATAAACTGTTTTTCTGGACCGGCCAAGTCAAGGTTTCTGAAAACAAAGATAACATCAAGTTTATAACACCCCCAAAAGCATATGATAGGTACCTTTTTTGTGTCTGGCTTCCTTCCTTCATATTTGGAGATCCATCCCTTTGTTTCCATGAAAAGAGCAAGGGCCGCGTGGGGGCAGCCATATCTGACTTTTACCAATTTCACAAAGAGGAGCTGTCCTTGTCAGCAGCACCAATAACACAAAACCTATTTTCGAGAGGTCAAACATGCCCCCCCCAAGCTCACGCACCTCTTCCTACTCGTCTCAATGCCAATCTTACTGTTTTACTGCATTCAGAATCTGATGTGATAGTTCACAGATCACACAGAACCATTTTGGGGACATCTACAGGTTGTAATCCAGGTTTGTAGTAGAATAAGGTCAGGACCTTCTGAAATGTGTTCACAAGTACCTCAGCCTTGAGCCTCGCAGCTTTAGGCCAGTGTAAATCCTCAGTTCTGTGAATTATGCACACATACCCCACCCCTTTCAGTTTTTCAATGAACTTGAGCAAAGGCTCTTTGCTCCAGTTCCAATGATAGCAGTCCAATCTTCTTAGGTCTCCAATTCGCTGTCTCAGGTCTCATGTCTGTTTCTCTGCTATGGCTGTTGCTCCTGTAGGCTATTTTGCTTGCTCTTTTCCTGGTGATGAGGTCTCTTCTGCTGCTGCTGGATTGTTCAATTTAATGGTGAGACTAGCCAGTCCTCTTGTGGATTGGTAGATAGCCAATCCCCTTGTGGATAGGCTAACTCACCCAATTCCCATATTCCTGTCCAGCTATATGGCAAAGTTAAACGATGGCTACGAAAGCCATGTTGAAAGATAAACTCCACAGTTCTTTTTATTGATAAGTACACCAGTGAATGAATAACACCCACAATTTGCTTAGCCATCCAGTTATTGATAGATATCTAGATTGCTTCCCATTTTTTATAACAGCAATTAAGCTGCTTTGACTGTTCTTGCATAGTTGTTGTGGTTATACGATTTATTTTTCTCTTAGATAAATACTAGGGGTGAAATTATTGTACAAAATGTAGAATTATGGCTAACTCTTTAAATGAACTGGCTGACAGATTTCTAAAGTGGTTATACCATAATACGGGCACACAACAGGTAAGAGTTCCAGTTGCTCCATGAACATGGGTGGATCAGCCCTTTTGTTTTCACTTTCTAGTTCATTGTGTCTGCACAGTGGGGACCCTATTATAACTTCCTGTTACATTCCCTGAGGACAAATGATCTCAGGTAAGCACTCTTTCCTACGCTTACTGAATATCTGTGTGTCTTATTTTTGTGATGTCTAGAATCAACTGTTTTTGCTCATTTTCTAAATTATTGCATTTGTTGTCTTTTCTTATTAAGTTGCAGGAGTTCTCTCTCTGGATCTAAGTCTTTTGTCAGATTTATGTGCTGTGTATATTTCCCCCAAGTCTGCAGTTTGCCTATGTTTTAATGATGGTTTTTGATACGCAGAAATTTTCTTTCTTGTGAGGTCCACTTATCAGTGTTTTTTAGGGCCCATACTTTTTGTGTCCTTTCTGAGAAATCATTGTCTAGCCCCAAACTGAGAAGATCTTTTCCTATTTTCTACTAGTAACGTGATAATTTTGATTTTCGTGTTTAATGCTTTGGTTCCTTTTGAATAGGAACCATGGTTTTCTCACGATGAGAAGCAGGGGTTGGGGTCTCCCTGCCCACATATTTATCTAGTTACATGAGCATCATTTATGGAGCAAAAGGGTGAAAGATCCTCAACGAAATGTTTGGCACAATGACATTTACAGTGGGCTCCAGCTTGGCGGAGGTTGTGGGAATGGGGTGAGACAGGAAGAGGTTTCCATCCATTGTTCATAGGGTCACTATGAGCTGTGGTAAATTCAATGGCACCCAACAACACTGGTTTGCTTTGATGCCTTTTTCAAAATTATTTGACTATTAGGATGGCTCCATCGCTTCCAATACTAGGTACCCCAGGTGACCTGTGTGGTCTTTGGCTACTGAAAGTGTGATTCAGGGGCCAGTATCATGTCACTGAGAGCTTGTTAGCAATGCAGAACCTGGTACCATTCCAAATCTATTGAATTAGAATTTAGACTTAAAAAAAAAATTTCCCAGTGTAATTCAAAGGCACATCAGAGTTTGAGGAGCACTGGTGTAGATTGTTTTTGAGGAAAGATGGAAAACGTGATCATGACAAACCCCACCTCTGACAGCCTCCAGATGCACCAAGGGCTGTTGAGGCCGCTTGACTGTGTGCCTCTCTCTCTCTCTCACGGACAAGTGGAGCCTGCTTCGAATTACTGCCTCTACTCAACCCCTGGGTCCGCCCTATCCTGAGTACGCCTTCACTGTTGAGGGCGGAGAGGCGAGGAGACTCACTCCTTAGGCCTCACTTCTAATACCCACAACCACCAGCAGCTCCACTCCTGGTTCCTGCTCTCTCCTCCACCCTCATCCTCTTACCCTCCAGCTCTAGTTTCTTCTATTACAGCGGAGATAACAATGATCTCAGGGGTTAATGTGATGCGAAATGATTCAAGGAGTGCCTGGGGCAAAGGGACAGCACAATAAAAGCCAGCGATCGTCATGGTCATTTCGGAGCCTGTCTCTGGAGAGAAGCTCCTGGACAAAAGCAGTTTTGCTTTACCCCCCTTTGAAGCAGCCCCAACACCCAGGCAGAGTTAGGCCTGCTTTCCCTCGCTCCCGACTTTCTCCTCACTCCTTCCTCCGCACCCCCAGGGCAGCGTGCACTGGTAAATCTTTCCTCTCATGTTATATTGTCACAACCAGTCCTGGCGACTGACTGGTCCCTAGCCCCGGCCTGGGAGTTCTTAAAACCTGATCTCTCTGCCTTGGTCGTCTTTGAATTCCCAGCACTCCCACTCCAAGGCCCCCGGCCCCCCAGACCCCTCCTGAGCACAGTGTCTGGCACTTGGAAAGAGCTCAGTGAATGTTTGCAAAATCGAATTACATGTTGAAGTGTGCGCTTGTCACTCTGCAGGGGGCGGCGTATGTGTGGGCCACGGGGGCAGGAGAGAAGGCTGGTCGTGTGTCCACGCGGGGGCGCAGGCCGGGGGGGTTCCCCGCGGCTGCAGTGGGAGGAGAAAGAGGAAGGGTGCGCGGCGGGAGGGCGGAGCCAGTGCCCAGGGAGAGCTGGAGGTGCCAGACGCCCCGGGCGCGCTCCTTTCTCCCCCGCCTTCTCTCCCTCCTCTCTGCCCCTCCCCTCTTCCTTCCCCCGTCACCCCCTCCATCCGCCACCCTCGCCCCGCACGGCGGCGGCTGGGAGGGGCCGGGGAGGCGGAGCCAGCGGCGGCGGCGGCTCTGGGCGCCCGCGCGCTCTCGGTCGCCGAGGAGAGAGCCCCGCACGACGAGGTAGGAGCCCGCGCGGGAGCGGACAAGGGACCCAGAGCCGGGGCGGCGGGAGGGACCCGGGCGGCGGGGAGGCCGGGCCGAGACCCGCCCCTCGTGCACCAGCTCAGCCTGGAGGCCCCCTGAGCTCCACCGAGGGGACCTTACATCCGGCCCTGGTCCCCCGTCTCGTCTCCCTCCCCGCCCCCTCCAGGCGCCCCACGCCTTTCCTGCAGCTGAGCATCCTCCGAGGCCACCCCCAAGCGGGCCCCCGGTTCCGCTCTCCGGCTTCGTCCCACAGGTCCCTGCAGAGAGGACTAGAGCCGGTGTCTGGCCGCCCAAGGGAGGTGGGGGACTCCTAGAAGAAGCTAGAGGTTGAGCCTGGCATGACAGTGGGGGGCTAGAGGGTGGCGGGCGTCCTTACGAATCCTAGTGTCACCAGTGCTCAGCGCATTGGGGCTGGCTCCATGTTTGTGGAATGAATGAGTCATTACTCTCCTTGTCCCCTTCAGAAGGAGGACTTTTTGAGGTCCACGTGCTGCAGAGCATCTTGGGGAGGGTGGGCTCCTGAGATGGGGGTTCCTCTTCTGCGTAGTGGAAATTGGCTCTCAGTTCTCCGCCTCCTCTTTCCGCTCCATTTCCTTGGTTAATGTCCCTTTGGGTCCAGTCCTGGTTTGGGTATGGTGGGGAGTGTTTAGAGGCCCAGCTTGGAACTTGTTTAAGGTGTAGTGGGATGGGGATTCGAGAGTTACTTTTTAGAAGATAACAGGGTGTGGGGATGCGGTGCAGGACACTCACTGGACCAAGCTGAGTGTGGATTCTGACAGGCCCTCCAAGCCTCTGTTTCTTCAGCAGTGAAATGGGAACATTATTATCTATTCCTTCAGATTTGTTTGGATTAAAGAAGATGCCATAGGAAATCACTTGGCACAATGCTTAGCACATTGGGGCACTTGGCCAACCTTGGCTTACTCTCTTTTTTCCTGGAAGAGCGCACAGATTGGCCCAGGCTCTCCTGTTCCTGGTCATGGACACATGTGTGAGAAGGGTAGAGGGACAATGTTGGGGTGAAGTTTCAGCACCGCCTCTCCCCTTTCTCATAGACTGCAGGAAGAGCTGAGGCTGTGTGGGGCGCAGGCATGCCGGTGCTGTCAGAGGACTCGGGTGAGTGTTGTTCAGCTGGGGCCCACAGACAGGTTTTGGGCTGTGACTGGTCCTGGAGCTCAGATGCTGCTTCTGCTCCCAGCATGCCCAGGACAGGCCCAGGTGCTATTTGAGGGTCCCTTGGGGTGCTGAGGGACAGAAAGTGTCCATTGCATTGACTATAACTTTTTAAAACTTTCCCCAGGTTTGCATGAAACCCTGGCTCTGCTTACCTCTCAGCTCAGACCTGACTCCAACCACAAGGAAGAAATGGGCTTCCTGAGGGATGTCTTCAGTGAGAAAAGCCTCAGCTACTTAATGAAGGTAAAATCTTGTTGTTGCATCTGTCTGGTTAGGATTCTAGGCGTCCTGGGGTGATGCAAATGGTGTGTGCTCAGCTCATAACTGGGAGGTTGTAGGTTCAAATCTGCCCAGTGGAGAAAGGTCTTAATGATTCAGAAGATTCCAAGATCAGAAGCCCAAACCCCCAATCCCATTTCCATCAAGTCACATTTTGACTCACAGAGACTCTCAGTAAAACTTCCTTCCAGGGTTTCCAAGGCAGTTAATCTGTTACAGAAGTAGATTGCCTCATTTTTCTCCTGTGGAGCAACTGGTGGGTTTGTACTGCTGACAAATCCAGTTAGCAGCTGAGACTGAGCCACGGGGCTCCATTCTGAGAGACCTGGGGAGATTAGGGACAGGCCTGCATAGTGTGTGTCTGCCCTGGAACACAGGGGATTGACCCTGAGGAGTTTGATGGCTGTGGCTGGGATTGATTTCCTGGTTGTGGATTGATAACACAGGGGTCATCTTAGCAATGCCTTTGCTGCAGAAAGTCTTCAGAGTCCAGGCAGGCAAGACTTTCTCTCGTGCCATCCTATTGGTGACCTAATTTACAGTCCACATGTCAGTGCAACTGTGAGTGGAGCGTGTGGCGTCCAGGGTAAACCTGGGGCAGCTGGTCTGGGAGTCCCAGCCTGAAACCCTCTGTCTTTGCAGATTCACGAGAAGCTACGCTATTATGAGAGGCAGAGCCCCACCCCTGTCCTGCACAGCGCCATGGCACTTGCTGAGGATGTAAGTTCCAGGTTTTTCTTCTTGGTGTTGCCTCAGAGGTCCCTTTAGCTTGTCTTGCTGACCTTGGTTAGCCAGGGGACTTCAGGAACTGGCAACTCCAAGAGATGTCTCTGTCGCTCCCTGTCTTCCCCCTCCCTGGGCCTCCTGACCGCCGGGAGGGACGCTGGGAGACATGATGACAGAAGGTGCCTCCTTACTCTGTGTTCTTGAGAAAGTCTGTTTCCTTAGCTGCACAGCAGAGTGTTTGGAGGACTGGAGCTAGGAATGGGACCTACCTTTCTTTCTTTCATTTATTTATTTTTTTTTTGAAGTATGTTGTGCCTGAGCCTTTGAGGCTGTGAAGGAAGACAGGACCCACCAGCACACCCTGGCACTGGCTTGGAAGTCCCCTCTTTAAAGTCCCCTCTGTTAGTTTCTAGTGCTTTCTGACATGGGGTGGGTGCAGGTCCTTGATTCTTTCTCCACCACAGGGTAGCAAATAGGAGCGTGTTAGATATCTGCTTCTCGGCCCAGTGCTGCAAGCTCTGGGTCGTCAGACAAGTTGCTCTCTCAACTCTGATCTCTCCACCATAAAATAGAGCCATGGTGAAGGACACAGATTGTAAAGCCAGGCAACTCCACACTCAAATTCTGCCTGTGCCGCCTACCAGCCATGCAACCTTGGGTTAAGTATTTAGTCTCTCTGGGCCTCAGGTTTCTCATCTGAGAAATGGCAAAATAATAGTACCTGTTGCATCTGGGTTCATTGTGAGGATTAGACAAGAAAGTCTGTGTAAAGCAATCAGCACAGGGTAAAGGCTTGGTGCATTCAGCTCGCGGTGAGATTTCCCAGTTCCTGGGTGGCCCGTGTGGTTAATCCCTTAACTACGAGCTGAAAGGTCAGTGATTCGAACCCACCTGCAGGTACCTGCAAAGGCCTGGCATTTTGCTAGTGAGCGATCACAGCCTCTACGGAGCAGCTCTGCTCTGGCCACAGAGGATGGTCGTGAGTCAGAATCGACTCTCCGGCATTAGGTTTGGTTTTGCTGTGAAGATTGGTTTTGCCCTTCTCAAGCAAACAGCACACAGCAAGGTCTTCATAAATTCAGCTCCTTTTAGGATTTCCCCTGCGGAGCAGCTCTGCTTTCCTGCTCCCTGGTCTATTGTTTGGGAGCATCAGTCCTGGGGTGCCCGAAGGTGGGCTGTGTCCTGGTGGTGCATCGGTTTTCCCGAGGGGCTCCTGGACGGCAGCCCCCCTCCCCCCAGCTGTCTGTGGCATTCTCTGTTCCTCTCCAGGTGATGGAGGAGCTGCAGGCCGCCTCCGTGCACAGTGACGAGCGGGAGCTGCTCCAGCTGCTGTCCACCCCCCACCTCAGGGTAGTCACGCTGTCCCTGCCCGCCCACACTCTTGTGTTTCCGGGGACGGGGGCGGCAAGGAGTGCTGGGTCATTTGACTGAGAGGAGATGTCTAGTGAGGGCCCTTCGAGGGTGATGTCTGGGTGATGGTCACTCTGTTATAAGATTGGAGACCCCCAGACCACTGGCCAGGCAAGACCTCCAACCCCCTTTGCTCTCCGACTTTCTGACAGGCGGTACTCATGGTACATGACACAGTTGCCCAGAAGAATTTCGACCCTGTCCTCCCTCCTCTGCCTGATAACATTGATGAGGAGTTTGAAGAGGAATCAGTGAAAATCGTCCGCCTGGTGAAGAACAAGGAACCCCTGGTATGTGTCGTCCACTTCTTGTCCCTGTTCTGTTCCTTCTCCCACTGCATCCCACCTTGGCCCAGAAAACCGGAAAGGACCTCCCTGAAGTCTTCGGATTTGTGAAGGCAGCTTTGTCAAGGCTGTCGCTAGTGCTTTTCTTTGTGGTTCAACAGGGTACCCCCATCTTTGTGGAATGCAGCCCCCTTGCTCCATGGCCAACCCCCTTTGTGTGCAGCGGGACAACCAGCATAGTGGGACAGCCCACTCACACCAATCTAAGATTGGCAAATCTAGTCCACCACCTGCTTTTATAAATTAGGTTTCACTGGAGCACAGCCACCTCCGTTTATTTACATATTGTCTGTGGCTGCCTTTACATTATAATAACAGAGTTGAGTAATTATGACAGCAATAATTTGGTCTGCACAGCCAGAAATATCCGCCTTCCTCCTACTCCGCTGAATAAGGAGCTCTGTGGGACAAAGCATGAAGCACTTGGCTGCTAACTGAGAAGTTGGTGGTTCAGACCCACCTGTGGTTATATGGGAAAAAAAGACCTGGTGATTTGTTCACTGCCTCGGAACCAGCCTGGAGTGAGTCTATACTGTATGTTTGCTAACAGAATCAACTTGAGACTCCATAACACATTCTCTGAATACTGGAGTCCCCGGGTGGTGGAAATGGTTACCAGTTACTGTGTGGTGGCTCACAGTTGGAGGTTTGAGTCTACCTTGAGATGTGTAGGAAGAAAGGTCTGGTGATCTACTGAAAAATTAGCCCTGTAAAACCCTGTGGAGCAAAGTTCTGTCCTGCCACGTGGCTCTGCCACTGATTAGACAACGCCGAGGAAGCTCAGGACACACCATAGGCTCTTCACCCTGGCTGAGAGGGTGATACCCTGCTGGTTGGGGCTGAGAATAGATTTATTGAACAGAGGAACAGGTGGTTTGCTGGATGGAGAGAAGGACTGGACATTCAGGAAATGGGCACTGGCTCAGAGAATACTGTACCAGATGCTTTCTGTTTTCACGTTCACCGAGTGACCATCAGCAGGCTACTTTTGCAAACAGATGAGGATTTCTCTCTTCTGCGTCCATGTCCTCCTCTGTAAAATGGGGCCGATGATCCACCCACCCAGTAGATCTGTTGTGAGCCCTCTTGTGTATCAGGCCCCGTGCTGTGTGCTGATACTTCAGGGAGGAAGGAGGCTCAGCCCCTGTCCTTAGGGCACTTGTAGGCATAATGTTAGATGCTATTGATTTGGCTTCAACCCATAGTGACCGTGTTTACACGGAATAGAATACTGCCCTGTCCTGTGGACTTAATAGAAGGTTGTGATCTCATCCAAGGAGGGAGTGACTGGGGGTGGGTGGGTAAGCCTTAAGGAAGGCTTCTGGGAGGAGGTGATGCCCAGGCTGAATTCTGAAAAAGGAAAAGGAATCTGCCAGAAAGAAAAGGGTGCAGATAGACCTTCTAGGAATTAAGAACTGCAGAGTCCTGGGGGAACAGACAGTGTGGTATATTTTGGGGAGCTGTAAGCAGCTTGCTGTGGCCAGAATGTCAGATCTGAGCTACGGAGGGACCAGGTGAAGCCAGAGGGCCTGGTGAGATCTGATCAGAAAGGGCCTGACTGACCTCGCCCAGCTGCTTCTGACAGTCAGGAGTTGGTGCTTGCTTTTAAACAGTGAGCAGTGAGCGCTGCCGTCCTTGTTCCTGAGCTCCGGCGGGGCCATAACTGGTTCCCCGTGGTAACACCAAAGGGCTCCTGTCTCCCTGCTGTTGGTTACAAAGGCTGGTTGAGAATTTGCTGGCACATATTGTCTTTTTGATATGTCCATGAGAATGGCAGGGGGCTGCGATATGAAAGATGGGACGCTGGACTCAGAGTCACCGAAAGCTTGGCTCCTCACCAGCTGTGTGACCTTGAGGAGGAAGCTTAGCGTCTTTGAGCCCCAGTTCCTCATCTCCCAGATGGTCTTTGCATGCTGTTAAGTGCTGTGCTAACACAGTGGGGGTGTCCTCACCTGCCATGCGGGGTTCCTGGGTTCTGTTTCTGATGAATCCATCTCAAGTGCAACTACCACGTGTCTGCCAGCAGAGGCTTGGGTATTGCTGAGATGCTAAACAAGATTCAGCAGAGCTTTTAGCCAGAGACAAACTAGGAAGAAAGGCCTGGCAATCAGCTTCCACCCAGATCAGCTAATGAAACTTCAGTGGATCGCAGTGGTCTGATCGCTTTGTACCTGGGCTGCCATGTGTTGGGAGGAAGACAGCTAACGACAACATACTCATGGAGGGTGTTGGCTTTCTTGAGGATGTCTCCAGTGCGGGGACATTCCCCACTGCTCTGCCCTCTGGGCCGGCAGAAGGAGGGACAGGGGTGCTGTGTTGGACTCTGTGAGTGAGGGTCTGAGGTTGGGGACACTTGAGGACCCTCATGCTCTGTGTCTGATGCAGGGTGCCACCATCCGACGCGATGAGCACTCGGGAGCCGTGGTCGTGGCCCGGATCATGCGAGGGGGTGCAGCCGACCGAAGCGGTGAGTGGCAGTGACTCTGGCCTAGCTGAGATAATAGCCATCGCCCTAGAGCCTTCCTCTTTCGGACCCCGATCTCCCTCCTCACTCTGACCCAGGCAGGCGCCTGTTTGTGTGGTGCCTCCATTTCGGGGAATGAAGCTGGAATTCTTGCCTCCTTTCCAAACCCAGTTGTTGTTGTTGTCATGCACCCTCGAGTCATTTGCGACTCATAGCGACCCTATGTACAACAGCCCTAAACCGTGCTCTATCCTGTGCCAGTCTCATTGCCTCTGACACACCCATCCCGAGTGCCACAGTCACTGAATCAATCCACCTCGTAGAGGGTCTTCCCCTCCTGTGCTGTCCCTCCACTCTGCCCAGCATGATGTCCCTCTCTAAAGACCTGTCTCTCCTTTCAACATGTCCAAAGTATGTCAGACGAAGCCCCAGAATCCTTGCCTCCAAGGAGACCCAGTAGACACTTTAATATTTTATAAAATTTTTTATAAATATAACAGAATGCCCTGGTGGCCTGGTGGGTAATGAGCTGTGCTGGTAACACAAAGACGGAGCCTCTTTGGGGTGAATCCTGCAGTGATTCCAAGGGAGAAAATGGAAGATTTCCTGATGTGCATTTTACAACCTCTGAAAGCCCACTGGAGGAGGGTCAGCTGTGAGTCAGTTCTGACTTGAAGACGATGAGTTTATAAATATGTGTGGAGACTTTAGGGTTGATCTGGGAAGAGCTCAAGTGATGTCTTAGGATAGAGACTGTTCCAATTAAGCACAGGAACGTAAGAGCATGAGATTCTTAACTGGGGGGTAGGGGAGACACAATCCTGTCCTTCCCTAGTTGCTGCAGCAAGCCAGCCACAAATTCCTGAGGGAAGCGCGTTCATCGCCTGGCTTTGTGTGGGCGGAAGACAGGTGGAGAATCACCGGTGTGTGGAAGAAATCCTAAGCAGGGAGTCAGGCTTCCTGGCCATTAGACGGGGGTTGTTACCCAAAAGATTCTGTGGATAATCCTAGACCGTCTTAAATAGGAAGCCACACACAAATCCCTTGGAGGGCTTGTTAAATTCCAGATTCAGATTTGTCAGGTCTGGCGTGGGCCTGAGGTTTTTGCATCTCTAAGATTCTGTACATCATACCTGGTGCTGATGCTGCTGGCCCAGGGGCCACTCTGAGTAGCAAATAAGACCTTAATATGCACAGACTCTTGTCATTAAGCTAGAGGCTAGTGTGTGGGTATTTTTAACCCCCTCATTGTCACCAGGGAAGTTTCATCATCAAAATGAAAAGGACATTCTTAGAGTGTAACTGTAAGTTGAGGAAAGTGAAGAGTTAAGCATGTTTTTAAAGGAAGCAGAGGGGATAACAGAACAGACTTCCCAAGTCAGAATAACTGAGTTTGAAAGCACCCTGGAGTTTGAAGGCACCCTGGTAGAGCGGGGTTTAAGCACTCAGCTGATAACCAAACAGGCTGGTAACTTGACCCCCCCTCCCCCAGTAGCTGTGCCCTTGGGGGTGGCGAGAACGTGGTTGTGTGCGTTTCAGACAGCCTAGCTAACTCTGTGTTCTGTTCCTTAAGTGGGGCCCACTATGAGCCAAAATGGACTCATATACTCCTGACAGCAACAGTGTTCGCTTCTTCCCTGGCCCCAACCCTTTGAATCTTTGAGCCCAGAACACGTTAAATAAAACTTATATCTCTTAAAGCAACAGAAAACCCCACCATGACAAAAAACAATAGGTTGTTCCATTATTTTTTAAGTTTGGCCTTGGGCCAGGCTATTTAATCTTTGTAGGACTTACTGCCAACTTGTAAATTGGGGTTTTCACCAAGTGGTTGTGGGTCAGCACCCAGCACTCGATGGGGATCCCTCGTCACCTCCTTGCCTTCTGCTGCAGTGGATTTCTCTGTGCCAGGCACCCCTGCGCTGACACCCCGCTGTGCTGTGTCTCCTCCTAGGCCTGGTGCATGTTGGAGATGAGCTTCGAGAAGTGAATGGAATCGCAGTCCTGCACAAGCGGCCTGACGAGATCAGCCAGATCCTGGTCAGTGTTTGCGTGCTGCCCGGTGGGTTCCTTGGAGACCAAAGCCGGGGCTCTTCCTGGGGCCAGCCGCTTCTGGCACATCCTCTGTGTTTTCCTGAGGAGGTGGCTTAGTGAAGTGGTCTCGCTGTGTCTGAGGATGGGGGTCAGGAGGGGTGGACGTCCAGCCCACTAGCTCCTCTCAGAACTTATTGCAGCACAGCCACAGCGCTCTCCAGGATTCTCTCAAAACATCCCCTTCCTGACAAGATCCCGGTAACAGCCCCGGTGTCCAGCTACACCTGAATGCATTGAGAAATTGTAGTCACACAATGGAATACTATCCAGCACTCAGGAGTGACGATTTAAAAAAATAATCCTACGTAACTTGTGAGAGACTGGAGAGCAATATGCTGAGTGAACTATATCAGTCTCATAAGGACGAATACTGCATAAGACCATTATTGTAAACATAGAAGGATAACTTGTAAAACGTGTGGGGACGGAAGGAGGGGAAGAGGTAGGAGGATAGGTAAGGACAAAGCCACAGGGTTGCACAGTTTGGTGCGTAGACGGAGGGGGTGAAGGAAATGGATCTGGTGGGGACCTAAAAAGAATGGTTAATAGTGAACAAGTTCCAGTGGTGATTGATTGTATAAAACATAATGCAGGCGAATGATTGTATGAATATGAAAGAATAGTGTGAAACACAATGTATATGAACTTTGTGAGCAAACCAATATAAAATTAAAACCCAAACAAAAAATATCCCCTTCCTCCAAAGGAGCCAAGGAGCTTTGAGGTCAACTGGATGTGGGTTCAAATCCTGATTCCACCCATCATAGCTGTGTAACCTTGACCAAGTCATCAGATCATTCAGAGCTTCAGTTTCCTTTTACATAAAGTTGGTTTCTCCATCATGTGTGGGTTTTGTTAGAATGTGAACATCTGGAAAAGGTAAGTGCAGGAATTAAAAACAACCTGTGCAGTCCACTTAGATAATTTTAAATGAAAACTTGGTACCAGTAGTCAGGAGATCATGATATACTGCACTGGAAAAGTCTGCAGTCAGAGACTTCTCCAAATATTGAGGAACAGTGATGTCAGTTTGAGGACTAAGGTGCATCTGATTCAGGCCATGGTCTTTTCAGTCACTTGCTCTGCATCTGAAAGCTGGGCAGCAACTTAGGATGAAAGAAGAATTGATGCCTTTGAACTGTGGTGTTGGAGCAGAGTATTGAATATTCTGTGGACTGACTGCCTAAAGAACAAACATGTGTCTTGGAGAAGGTGCAGCCATAGTGCTCCTGGGAGGCAAAGATGATAAAGCTTTGCCTCATATACTTTGACCATGTCCTTGGCAGAGGCTATTCCTTAGAGAAGGGCATCGTGCTTGGAAAGGTGGAAGGATGGTTGGTGAAAGAGAGGAAGACCATCAATAAGACGCTTTGAACACAATGACAGCAGCAATGGGCTCGGGTGGGTCCCAGGTCCCAGGCTAGGACAAGGTTCATATCTGTTGTTCACAGGATTGCTATTAAGGTCATACTTGACGGCACCTACAACAAATGAAAGCTGAAAAATTTTTTTTAATTCTTTTTTTTTTTAATTTAGTTTGTTTATTTTTCATTTCA